AAGATTAAAAGAGATGGGTCTTCTTTTGATGATTGACTGTGATGAAGAAAATGGTCAAACCATTGTTCAAACAAGTTAAGCTGCATTCAACTAGATTTATCAGTAACGACTAAGGTTCCTGGCGGTGCAGCCTCTGAGAACTGCGGCTTCATACGAACTCTGGGAATTATGATCATATGAGGAACAAATATTCCACTGGCACTTATGCAGATTACAGAAATAGAAAGCTGCCCTCGTTCTGCAGATGTTAGTGTGCCGACCTGTTTTTTACCCTTGACAGCAATCACTTTTGATGGACGACCTTAAACTGGTTTAATCCCGGTTTCGTCAACGTTAAAAATACGAAAGGGTGGAAAACCTCGATCACGTGTAGTTGATGTTGCTTTAGGCAAACGGAACGAAAGTTTATTCCGTTTCAAAAAAGCGCTAAGCCATTCACACCCAGCCAACTTGGTGTTTTTCTTGAAATGATGTTTGATGTTGTTTTTCTCTGCTATCTAATATGCCAAACTACGGATGGAACGAGTTGTAAGACCGAACATAATAGTTTTCATATTCTTTGCATATGTTACCAATTGCTGCTCCAACTCTATAGGACATGTAGGCAGTCAGCTCCCAAGTAATTTAGAATGTCCTGTTGCGGATTTATTTCTTCTTTGAAACTTCTTTCCAATGTTCAATTTGGAACTCATATTTTTTTGGATGCTTTTAGAATTCCACAAGTTCTTTTTCTAATGCTTCCAGAGCGCTGGCCATAGATTTTTCAGAGCATTTTTGACGCTCAGTTTTGCGTTGGTAATTTCTATGCATCTGAAACAAAAATAATTCTAAGTTTATTCTTATATTACCCTAAACAAGCTTGAATATTTTTTACTTTTAAAAGTCTTTTATTTTTTTAAAAAATATGATTTTGACGTAATTATAGAATGGGTACACATAATGGGTAAAACGAGATATCCCATTTTACCCCACCCGGTTATTTTCCGTTTTACCCCACATGCTGTTTAAAAAAAATTACCTGCATGCTCAATATGAGTTGGTTCACTCAAAAAACTTATTCACAATGTGCGCAGTGGCACTACACATCATCTGAGTTCAAAAATTATATCAAAAACTTGTTTAAAACAAAAGTTATAGGACCTTAAAACGTGGGACCCAAAAACTACATCAGTCACCGGTCAAAACACATATTTTGGTCTGAGCACGAGGTCGGGTGTTTGAACTACGGCGCGTTCGAACGCCGAAAGTATTCAGTATGTTTCTGAATTGTACAGAATATTGTACTAGTATGTACAATATTATATTAGTATTGAGGTATTAGTATGTTACGACGCGACTTAGGTGAACATTTCAATGTGTGCAGTTAGACATTTCTATGTAAAAGCAGTTTCTCCATTAATTATTTGTTACAATTACACCGCGAATGTCGCGGAGACTGTTATAACTGTAAAGCTAAAATTTACGATCAGCTTTTTTACCACCCACGATGGTTACATCACTCTATAAGCTTAAGGAATGCTATCCGATAGTAGTAAAATCCTAATCAGGATTTTTAGTACGACAAGAACTGCAATTCCGATAGACACATTATGTCGAAAGCAATTTAAGTTAAGACATCATTTTTAGTGCGACAAGAACTGCAATTCCGATAGACACTTTATGTCGAAAGCAATTTAAGTTAAGACATCTTCTGGATAGATTCACGATATTTCTGAACTAGACAGTGTCAAAAACGAACACATTCCCGTCTTCAAGATCTTATCTTGAACTATTACCCAAGTCCAAAATTCAAAAGATTACTCATCGACATATAAAACCTCTTATATGGTCACGTGTATCTAACTTAGATCCTACTCTTAATACATCTGTCGCCAGACAAAAAATGACATTAATAAGTAACATCAAAGAATTAAATATTCCACCTTCAAGAACTAATTAAAATAGCCTAAAATAAATAATTTGCAGAGGTCATCGCCAACCTCCACTGAGGTTGGCGATGACCTCTGCAAAAGTCGGGATCTGGCAGAACGTGGAGTGCCGTTCTTCATTGCTGAAGAGATATAGAAAATACATAATAGAAAAATACAAAATCTACAGATGGGAACTGTCCCGTCGTTTGTCGGTAAATCAACACTCTTGAATGGAAGGTTGGAAGCTGATGTATAGCACGTACTTACCCTTTTTACCCCTCCGACGCCAAAATTTATACCTCCAATACCCAAAGGAAGAACAAATGCCAGAAGATTGGTGCTCTGGAATCATATGTTCACGTTATTAAAAGAAAGATTTGTTGCAATGTAAAAATTACACGGGTGTAACCCTTCTGAACACAATAAACAAATATTCTCCAACACCCTGTGCAGCAGTTTAAGTTAAAAATGCTTTTTAGTTTTCTCAGGATTTGAAAAAAAAAATGGATACATTTAAAACACATTGAACGATACGATTAGAAAACTATTCAAATTCAAAATAAATAGAATCAACTTTGGAATCTGAGTCGTCTTAAGGGGTTAATAATTAGCGGCTGTGTCTCTACGGTCGCATCAATTATGTTATCAAGATCCCACATTTTTTTGTTCTTCTTTTATTACATGTCTTACTGCATCTTTCCAGTTTCGTTCTGTAATATGTTTTAAAGACTCATATAACAATTCACGTACAGCTTGTATTTTATATGACGTATTTCTTCTAGTCATATAACTTTTCATTTGTGCCCAAATGAGTTCCATTGGATTTATTTCGCAGTGGTAGGGTGGAAGTCTAAGGACTGTGATGTTTCGCCTTTCCGCCATTTTGTCAACTATTTTGTCTATTTCTTGAACTTAGATTTATGTTGCCGGGCAATTTTTAAAAGTTCTGCTTTTACCATTCCATCTTCGTAAGGCAGATATTTATTCCGCAGCCAGTCAAGAATATCCTGTTTCTTCCACTCAGTCGTTGGAAGTCTTTCTACTAGTCGTGAATGATAAGGTGCATTATGTAATACTATAATTGAATTTGGTGGTATGTGTTCAATCATCTGCTCAAAATACTCTTCGAAAACATCAGCTGTCATCTCCTCGTGATAGTCTTTTGTGCTTTTGGACTTTTACAAATTCCTTTTTCACTGCCAATGTAAGAAATTATTAATCTACTGCCTTTACCAGAAGGTGGGGAGATACCAGTAGACTAATCTTCCATAAAGGCTTGCCTGGAGCTTAATATATTTTTATCTGAGCAATTTTTTTTAGAGTATGACCTGAGTTTACCCACGTTTCATCCTGGTAGAAGATTGGCCTTCCTTCAGCCGGAATTTTTTTATGGATCGTATGGACGAGCCGTAAATTACATGCTGTCAAAAACGTACTAAACGAAAAAATTGTTTTCGTTCGTAATAACTTCACCCTTTCAAATTAAGTTTCGAATATAAACTGAACAGACGAGGCACATGGCCAAAGCCGGCATCTTTATACCCATTACATTATTAAAAATCTGGGGAATTTCATCCTAATTATCTTGCAACGAATAGTACCTTCGGATATGAATTCCAGGTTTTCTAGTAAAGTGATAAACGCGAAGATTAGTATTAAAATATCAAAGAGATAAGGTATTCTTATTTACAAAATTGTTAATGGTTAAATTATTATTTTTATTCATATAATATAATAACCAACATTGGCCATGAAAGTTTTCATTGTTTTTTGCTAAATATATTAGTATTAAAACTATTAATATTAATATTAATTTTAATGAATAAACACCTCAAGAACGCCTATGATGATTCAAATTTTACGACCGTTTGATGACTTTGAGGCGCATTTCGTGCTATCAACAATTTGTGAACGGATAATAGTCGAATTAAGGGCAAAAATACTTCATTTTTCTGCATTACAGCAGCGCTACTCCAAATTATGAGGTGAAATTTGTATGACAGATTTGGTTACTGTTTAGCACAAAGAGGTGGAATATTTGAGCGCTTAATTCATTAATCTGCTTTCCTAATTTTGATTTTTTGTTAGGTACATTTTACGAAGTGTGTAGTTTCTTAATTAGGTAGTATTTTTTATGTTTAATTTTGGAAGAATTTTATTGTTTTTTTTTTATTTAAAAATATAAACGATTCTTATTCTGATTTTTTTTCTTCTTTCTTGTTTTATTGTTATAAGCTTTGTCCATAAAATTTGTACAATTTTCAGTGACAATAAAACAGATTACTTATGTACTTACTTATTTATTTGTAGTGCTATTAAGGCTAAAAAATAACCAAAAAAAGAGTTTTAGAGCATTATAATAAAATATACTCTAGAGATATGATTGCAGTAAATCTTAATTGCTATGGTCAACAAAACAATGTCGCTATCTGTATATGTAACTTATTTCGACACAAAAAAAATTTTTCTTTAAAATGTATTTATTAAAAATACATATAATCGTTTTAAGTACAAAACCTAGACTAGATCAGATTATATTGCTTATAGCAATAAAATCTGAAATATAAAATTATCAACGTAACAATGTCATTGTTTTGTCCTGGGTTGTTGACGGTTGGTATTAGACAAATGAATATTTTCTATAGTATTTTTAGGACGGACAGCACTTTTTGCGATTTCTCTATGTCCATTCTTTCTAATGTTTTCGGTTTGATATTAAATTTTTTATTTTACTTTTTATTTGCCTATCGCTCACAAATACTTTAGAAGGCATGATCTTTAGTGATTATTTTCTATTGTTAATTACATTATTTGTTTTAGTTTTTTTTTCCTTTTTACTTCTTCCTAAATTTCTTTGTTCCATCATTAGGTTTTTTATGATTTTTCTTATGTTTAATTCAAACCACACACTTCTAGTACGATGTTATAATTTATATCTTTAAAATTTTTCTAAAATAGGTTATTTGTTTATTGTTGATATTTTTAAAAGGATAATATTTTTTACATGGCTACGGCTAAAAAATTTTATTCTTGACAATATTTATTCTATTTTTCGTATTTCAAGTTATTAATAATGATTCTTCTTTTCAGATGTAGAAATAGGGACTTCTCTTCTATTATTCCTCACCAACCAGCCCGCTACAGAGAACGACCGAATGAGGTTTTCTTAGACTTTGAAGCTTTCCTCCTCAGCACCATGAAAGAACGTTCCACACTCTGGATACATTCTCAAATAAAAGCTTGCATGGAACCTATCGACTGTCAACCAGACTTTTGTCTGGATCTCTTTGAACCATCTGGACACGGAAGAAAGAAAAGAAGTGCCGAGATTGTTGAAATAATAAGTCCAGTAGACGGCATGTCACATGATCACAATGCAACGCAATTTACCAAAATCAAGGGTAATCTAGAATACACAGTGTTAATGCCTGGTGAATTTTACCACAAATCACAAAGTATAGAAGGCAGTTGTAGTACTTTCTTAATTGTAGCTGCCATTTTAGGAGCTTTGTTGTTTTTGTCAGCTTTTGTTATGTGTTGGTTAGCTACTAAACTACACACAGCTCTTATTGGAGCTAGCACTGACGGTAAAAATATTGATCAACTCGTAAGAGATAGAAGATTCTCTGATTCTGGATCTGGATACACAGGAAGAGCGACAACACAGTGATAAATGTTTTTGGTTAAGGTTTTGTTTATTCGATCTTGCCTCAATAAAAGTAAGAAGGATAAAGAGCGTGTTAAACGTACTGGATCCGTAGTTTGTATTTGTGGCACTGCGTTATAAAATAATGTTTTAAAATTAGATACGCAATCATTAAATATCAGGACCTATTAAAAGTATTACCTAGGTATAACAAATGTTTAATTTGACTAAGATTAAGTATCTTAAAATTGATATTAAAACGATTAAATATCTTTAGCACATTCAGTGCGGATTGTCGATCCAATACATTTACATACCAAACTCACATTAGACAGTCATTAAATATTTCCTAGCATTTAACAATCATCATTTTAGTAACAGGATCGTAAATTGTTGAATTCATCACATTTATGCCTCCTCCTCCTCTATCCTTTATCCGTTGTAAGAATGTGGTGACGTTATGGTATTTGACGAATGGTTGCTATCCATTCTTCTCTCTCCTTGGCGCGGTGTGCTACCTCAGACAGAGAGTAACCGGTAGCGAACTTAATTTGGTCTGACCATCGGAGTGGCAATCTTCCGCGAGTTTTTTTACCATCTACCTTGCCTTCAACCACCAACCTCTGCATGTCTTCCATTCGTCTGGTAATGTGTCCAAAGTACTTCAATATATTTTGGTTGATGATTGTGGTAAGCCTAGTATTGATGTCGAGCTCTGTTAATATTGAGACATTTGAGTGATGTGCTAGTCCAGGGTATGCGCATCATTCTACGATATACCACATGTCAAAGGCCATTATACGTCGTGAGTCAGACTTTTTAATGGTCCAAGTTTCTGACGCATAGGTAGCGATAGGAAAGATAAGCGTCCGTACTAGGTGCACTTTCGTGTTCCTGGTTATGTCCGTATCTTTCCAGATTTTAGTAAGTTTGACCGTTGCTGATCTGGCCATTGTAAGACGTTCGAAGTATCTATTCTTCTCATCCACCAATGTTTATGATAACAGAACCTAAGTAAATGAAACGGCTTACCACTTCAAACCCGCTACGTTTCGTATTTCAGGCTGGTTAATCTAATTTCATCGATTATTATTACCTTGGTCTTCTGTACATTAATGTTAAGTCCATATTCTCGACTAATAGTGTCTAGTCTGTTCATGATGTATTCAAGGTTATTTGTTGGTGATGCTAGTACTAAAGTGTCATCAGCATAGCGTATATTGCTGATTTTTTGGCCTCCGACTGATATTACTCCTTGCAATCGATAGAATACAATGCGCATGATGTGTTCACTATAATTATATTGAATAACTTGGGAGAGATAACCTTGACGAACACCGGCTTTTAGTTTAAAATTATCGGAGTATATGTTGTTGACTCTTACTTTTGCTGTGTTGTTGATATACAGTTGTTTCAGTAGGTATAATCGGGGGTACCCATTTCTTATGGTATTCCCCACATTGTATGCGACTTTACATTATCGAACGCTTTCGAGTAGTCGACGAAGCACAAATATGTTTCTAGATTAAATTCTCTAGATTGTTCTATAATTTGTCTGAGATTGAGAATTTGTTCTCGTGTGCCTCTTCCAGTGACAAATCCACATTGTTCTTGTGGGATCTGCGGTAGAAGTATTGATTTTAATCTCTCGTTAATTATAGTTAGCAGAACTTTACTTGCGTGGGAGATCAGGGCTATAGTGCGGTAGTTCTTACAGTCAGCTGGTGAGCTTTTCTTATAAATGGGTATGAAAGTGAGCTTGCACCAATCATCTAGCCATTGTCCTGTGTTCCAGACAGTTTGAACATAACTTCAATTCCTAGGTCTCCCATTTTTATAAGTACTTCCGCCGTGATTCCGTCTTCTACTTGAGATTTTCCAGTTTTTAATTTTTTTATTGCGGGTTCTATTTCCGATTTTAAAATATGTGGTTCATTTTCGTCATTTATTTCTTTTGGATTTACGTCTTCATGGTCACTATGAAACAAAATTTCATAATATTTTTTCCATGTCGCTGCTACATTTATGTCATCAGTTCCCAAATATTTCCAAAAAAAAACATTTTAATTGAAAAATATTTATTGTTACATAAAAACAAACTGAACAAGTTTCGACAGAAATCGTTTTAAACTCCATAAAAGTATTCACAAAACATTTTCCAAAACAAAATTCTATATTTCCAAACAGTTAACACAATGATACTGTTAAAGATATTTTTGTTCCGGATGCGGCATCTACCACGTTTGCACAATACCAGGCTGTCTTCGCTCTTTCGGTATATTTCTTACACAAATAATAAAAATTATATCATAGCATTTGACGAATATACATTACCAATTTTATAGGATTACCATCTCCTCTTTGATTCGGTTTTTAAATTCAGTCGATAGACAATAAATATTTTATACCACACACCTACCAACCGTTATTCTATATAGCTGTAGTTTTTGTTAAGAGTTGCTTCTTAAATTAGTCATTATGTGGCAGATCTCGCCTGTCTTCGTAATGTGCCTATTATCTTTCTTTTATACTTTATAGTCTTTAATGGAATAGTTTGCGGAGGGGAGAACTGTTTGTCTTAAATTGGTCATTCAGAATTATATCTGTGTTTTTTAATTTTTTCATAGATTCTAACAGAGATAGCTTAAAGCCTTTATTTTGAATGTGAATAATTTGAAATTCGTCATTAAAATAATGACTATGATCTAGAAGGTGAAGTGCGTATGTAAAATCTGTTTTTCTATTATTATAAGTGCTTATATTTTGGCTCTTATTGTTTTTAACATATTGACCGAAGTCGTTATTTGTTCTGAAAGCTGGTGTTATTCCTTTCTTTTTATGTGTTTGGCTATTTTTGTTGATATTTTGCCTGTATATGTAATCGAGCAGAAGGTACTCGATTTTTTCTCTGATGGTGGAAATACTAATTTCAGGGCTTTCTTGTGTAGTTTTAGATTTAAAATTTTATTAATTGTTTGTTCGTTGTATCCATTGTTTACTGCTATTTGCTTAATGGTATTTGATTCTGTCTCAAAGTTGTATTTTGAATTCGGAATTTCTGTTAATCTATGTAACATACTATGATAGGCTGCCAGTTTATGTTGTGTAGGATGGGATGATGAATTGTATATAGTCATGTCAGTATAGAAAGGTTTATGAAATATGGAGAAGTCATGTTTATTTTTAAGTCTGATAATTTTTAAATCTAAAAAGTTTATGAATTGATTTTGTCTATTTATTCTTCTTATCTATATTATTCATGCTATAATATGGGATACGATCCTTACAGCCTGTATTTAATATTCCCTCTAGTCCAGTAATCATCACTTAATTTTCTTTTGTTCACTGCTGGACATAGATCTCACTCATAACTTTTCATATGTTTCGATTTTGTGCCTCTCGCATTCAGTTTTTCTGGCAATGTTTTAGATCGTTAGTCAATCATATTGGTGGACGATTTCTACTTCAGTAAACATCATCTCTCAGTTTCCATTCTAGGCATATTGCGGTTCCAGTTCCATTTCATGTTGTGTGGGATGGAATGATGAATTCTGTATAGTCGTGTCAGTATGGGTAGGTTTATGAAATTTGGAGAAGTCATGTTTGTTTTTAAGTTTGATAATTTTTAAATTTATTAATTTATTATGTTTTGAAATCTTTGTCTCTAGATGATCCATAAAAATATCTGATAGTAATGGGCTTAGAGGATTGAACATTTTAAGTCCTGCACTGCCATTGGCACAACAAGAGCCAAAATAAACAGCACTTACACAGTGGTATATACAAACTTAAATGTGGCGACTGCCCAAAAACTTACATCAGTCAAACTGATAGAAATTTTAATAAACGAATAATAGAACATAAAGGGGTTTTCAATAATAGAAAACCAAATTCTACATACTCACTTTACCTGTAGATCATAATCATTCTTTTAATGACGAATTTCAAATTCTTCACATTTAAAATAAAGGCCTTGAGCTATATTTGTTAGAATCTATGTAAATTAACAAACTAAAAAACACAGATATAATTCTGATTGACCAACTTGAGACAAACCGTTCTCCCCCATCAACCTATTTTATGAAAGTAAAGTGTAAGCGCATGCCAAAAATAGATCACTTGAAAAAGGCAATCAGTCGAAACAGCTGTAGTGTTAAGATTTTTATAATACATGTTGTGGAAGTTTTGAAAACAAAGTTTTCAGTGTTTTATTGTTACATAAAATGAATTTCCATCAAGTAACGGTCGAATCCATCAATTATATATTTATCCCCACACAATTAAAATCCATTGTCTATTCTATTATTTTCCTGTCAAATTTCAATTTATACCGCGTTGGTTGTAGAAGTAGTCATACATTTTTTAAGTTGGTGTTTTTTTAAGACAAAATTTCATAGCGTATGATCGTTCCACAATCTTACCTTTTGCTTTTGCTTTACAATTTAGAGATGTTCCAGTTTTGCATCAGTCCTATAAGTATCTAAAAGTAATTATATAAGATAACATAATGTAATATTTATCTAAATTATCAACGGGACTTTCTTTTCACTAGCTATCTACGACGTATTACTCTATTCATAATCCTATTTTTCACTGTCACTGCCTAAGAATATATTTTTTGTTTCTTTAGTAATATTTTATTTATTTTTGGTCTTTTAAATCGCCATGGACTTGGTTTTTAAGCTAGCGTTTCAGCTATTTTGTATTCAAACTGATCTATTAGCAAATTTAGATAGTTAAGCATGTTGCGATCACAAACCCACATCAACGCAATAGCTTGCGTAAATGCTAACATGTCAGTTAAGGCACTAAATGGCATAAACGTATGTCGTTCGCATTGAACGTGTTAATCTAATTCATAAACGAACAGTTTTTATTATGTATTTAATCCAGTATATTTCGCAGTATTAATTTTTACTTACTAAATAAGAAACCTTTTTATACTCAAGTATAGCAGATAAATATTGTTAATATTATTATTCTCTACTACTTCTAAAGATGTTTTTCCCATTATTGCGGTCTTA